GTTATTTGGGGATCGCTCCCAAACCCCGGAGCCAAACTTTGCGGGACAGGCGGCTGGCCCGGCTCCAGCGCCGGAGAGCAGCCCTGCCCTTAAAAAAATAATAATAAAAAAAAATAAAAAATAAAAACCCGAGGGCAGCGGCTCAGCCTGCATCAGGAGCGCATCGCTGGGCACTTCTGGTCGGGGTCTGTTTTGGGGTTGAAGGATGGGATGCTGCGACCCCCCACTCCACCGTCCTGGTCCTGGAGCATCCCCTACAGCAGCGGGACCCCCCCAGGCCCCCCAAGCCCTGGCACTCACCGGAGGAAGAAGAAGTAGGAGTAGCCCTGCAGGACGGTGTGCGAGTGGCAGGAGAAGTATCCGAGGCCGGTGAGGTTGAGCCGGGAGCCAGCGGGCACCTCCAGCATGCTGCCCCAAGCCTGGTCGCACAGCAGCTCGATTTCAGGCCGAATAAAAAAGCCCCCCCGGGCCGTGCTGGCCACCGGCTGAGGCGGGGGGGTCCCTTTGCCAGGGGAGGTAATTGTAAGCCCCGTAGGGATCAGGATGGAGAGCCAGCACCCGAGCGTAGACGATGATCGCCGCCAGCTCGGCTCGGCAGCCCTCGCTCAGGGGTCGCCACTCGGCCGGCAGCTGGCAGCCCCCCCCGGCCCCTGCTCGCCCCCCCAGCCCCAGCGCCAGCCCCAGCAGCAGCAGCGGAGGCAGCGGGGGTGGCATCGCTGGGGAGGGGGGGGGGGGACACAGTGCAGGTATGGGGGGTAAAGGAGGGGTGAGGAGGTGGGGGGGGGAAAGTGGGGAAAGAGGGGAAAGAGGGGGTGTTATTTGGGGGGGAGGGGGGAAGGTGGAAGCCAAAAGGATCCTAATTTGGGGGGGGGAAGAGTTGGGGGGAAGGAAATGGAAGGGGGAGGGAGAAGTGGGAAAGGTGGCACTCAAAAAGATCCTGGGGGGGGGAAAGGTGGAGAAGGGCTGGGGGGAGAAGGAAGCGAGGGGGGGAGAGGAGTGGGAAAGGTGGCACCCGAAAAGACCCTAAGGGAAGGAAGGGAAGGTGGAGAAGGGCTGGGGAGGGGGGGAAGCGGCAGGGAGGGGAGAGGAAGGTGGGGAAGGTGGCACCCAAAAAAAAAAAAGACCCAAAGTGGTGGGGAGAGGCAAGGGGGGGGAGCGAAAGGGTAAAGATGCGAAGGGGAGAGGGGGGAAGAGGGTTTAGGGTGCGGAGGGGCCGAGGGGAGAGGAGCGGAGATGCGGAGGGAAGGGATGGGAACGGGCGGAGATGCGGAGGGGCAGGGATGCGAAGGGGAGGGATGTAAACGAGAGAGGTGCCGAGGGGGAGCTTGGAGGGGGAGGGATGCGAAGGGGAGGGATGCAGAGGCAAAGAGGAGGGATGCGGAGGGACGAGGTGGCCGAGGACAGAGGCAGAGATGCCAAAAGGGCGACCCCAAAAGCCAGCCCCGGAGAGGGGAACCTGCTGCGGGGCAACCCCTGGCCCCAAAGTGCGCGCTGGGGTTTGGGGAGGTAAAGGGGGGGTCTCAGAGGGCTGGGAGGGAGGTGAGAGGTGCTGGAGGGGCTGGGGGCTGTGCACAGCTCCTGGCTGGGGGGAAAAAGAGCCTGGGAAGCTGGAGGGGAGAGGGGAGAAGAGCCCAACCCTCTGCTCCCCCTCCAGCTGAAGCTGGAGGAGAAACTCGCCAGCGGATCGTTTTTCAAAACGCATCTGGTGGGAAGGGTAAAAATAAAAAGCCGGGTCTCCGTGGGTTTGGGCTTCCCACTGTCTCTTCCTAGGGCTGGCTCAGGCAGCCTGGGGCTTCTCCAGCTTTTTGGCAGGCGGCTGGGAGGCTGACCCCGCTCCTGGTACACGCACTGCTGCGGAGCTGCTCCCGAGCATCCCCGAGGGTCCCGCACCACTCGCAGCCTGAAATAGCTTCTTTCTAGCTCGGTTTTGTCCTTTTCCCACATTAGATTTCACTGGCAATAGTAGGGCCAAGAAGGGGCTTGGGATGCTTCAGGAACTTACTTTAGAATATGATGATCGTGCCGACACGGCCCCGGTTACCTCTGTCCCTAATGGCAACAGTTATTAAAAGTTTGACAGTGAGTCCTGGCTGGTTCCTTTAATTTCCTCCTCCATCTGTCCATCTGCCTGCATCCATCTGTCTCTCCTGTCCTGTATGAGGACCAGAGGCCCCGGTAGCAGAAGGTGCCTTTTATTCCGTGTCCATGCTGTGGACAGGGTCTGTCCACTGCAGGGCGTGGGGGGTCCTGGTGCGGGACGGGTGTTGGAAATGTGCAAAATCATCACCCGTAAGTTAAAGAGTGCTGAGCCAAGCCTGGGACAGGGGAGACAAGACTTGTGACAAGTGTCTCCCTGGGGAATAGTTTCATCAGATTCAGCTGTTTCATCGTGACAGATAGAGCTTCTCTAACATTTCCATAATCTGTTTCTTGGAAATCAACAAATTGTTGCATACCTTTCCAAAAAAAGCTTAAAGGAAAATCTGAAACTTTTTTTTTTTTTTTTTTTTTCCTTCTGGAGAAAATATCCTCAGGGAATCCCAATAGATCAAACAGGTAACTATTGGGTAAAATATATTTTAGTGTTAACCACCAGGAAAAGCTGGTTTTGCTTTGAAACTGAAGGGACCAACCTGTGTTGGAGAAGGAGGTCTCACAGCCTCGCTCAGTAGGTTTTAGACATGTAAATAAGAACTAAGGAGGAGAACAAAGAACTGAGGCTGTTGACTTCAAGCAAGGCTATGGCCATCGCCAAGGCATTTTGTGCAAGGCAGTGTACGAGGAGGCCTCAGTGCTACCCTCGTAGATAGGTTTCTTTTGAGATGGGGTGCTTTGAGACGTGGGGAAGCCGTGGGGTCATGTACAGACGGAGGGAGGTGATAAATGATGTTCAGCCCCTCTGAGGTGGTCTCTCCATGCGTGACGGCTCCAACGTGGATCCCACATTTGGTGTGGGCATCAAGCCCCTTCAGAGCCCCAAGAAGCTGATGAGATGTTCGTAACCATAGCTTATTTCATCCCAGGAACCAAATTCTTATGGCCATGTGAAAGGCAAGTGCTTTTTCTTCTCTGTGTACATAAAGAGATTGATATTTTCTGGGCAGAAGAGAGTCAGATTTAGGCTCCGACACTGTTTACTGTGTGTTGCAAGTGAGTAATGGCCAACTGTCCTCAAACCACTCTGGAAATATCTAATCTCAGCTGAGATTTGTTCTGCTCTTGCTCACAGTTCGGTTAGCCACCACGTAACAGCTGGGAAGGAGCCCAGGGAGGGAGAGGGGGGGACACAAGCAGCTCAGACCCAAAGTGTGGAAGTGTCTTTAATTACTGCCACTGCTAATTGTCTGAATTAAAGTGCCTACATGTGACCAGAGGTTTTGAATCGGTGAGCCGTCGCAGAAAGCACAATAGCATTTGCTGGCACACGCTGGCTCTGACTGATGCTCCCCAGTTCTCTTTTCAGTGGTGATTACCGGAGCCTGGAAGCCTTTAATTAATTAATTAATGCTCTTTGGAATTTCTCTACGATCCTGCAGAGGTGGTAGCACCAGCGTTGGGAGAATACGGGGGGAGCCTATGGAGCTGACTTGAGAGCTGAATGAGCTCCACGGAGGTCTTGGCCGTGACTCCTGAACAAATGCAGGACGCGTACAGGTCTGCACATGGAGATAAAAATAAAAATACCTCTCGCTTGGAAGTGCCTGGTTCCTCATTCCCTCCCATTTATGTTTGCTGTTGTCGCACCCAGTGTCAGTGTAAGGGCTGGGGGTGGCTCCTCTTCTCCTATGCCCTCTGTGAGACACCCCCAGCTGAGACCTTTCCCTGTCGGAAGCTTGTCAGATGGATCAGTGTGTAACTTTTCCTTCCATCCAAGCAAGCTGGTCCCTGGGGCTATTTGCTGTTCTCCTTGAGCTCATAGACCACTTTCGGATCAGTATTTTAGTAAATAAGTGCAACCATCTGCACTCAGATCCCAATGATTAATGCAATTTTGCTCTTAAGTTTTTCTCTACAGAAGCACCATCCATTTTCTCCTCTCTTCCTTAGTTTCTGAGGTAGCAAAGAGCAGCACGAGCATCTGAATCCTTTCCAGGAGTCCTTTTCCTTCAAGCTCTGGATAACACGGGATCAGTGACACAAAGGAAGGATTTAGAAACCCTCCTCGGAGACTGCATCCTTCAGATCTGAGTTTGCTGTTGCTCTGCAGGGATCCACCGGCTGAGCTGAGATGCTCTGCAGGGCAGCGTGGATATTTTCCTGCTGTGAACTCAGCGTGGGTCTGACAAGTGCTGGAGCCAAAGCGAGCTAATCAGAGGAGAGTCAATAGAGCCAGTTAGCACTCAGACTGTGCTTTCAGCCACTCATGCATGTGTCACAGTTACTCATTTACCTCCTCTGCTTAGACAGGCTCCTAGACTTTGGGACAGACGTGTGGTTTTCCCAGGCAGGAGCTCTTCCTCCCCTTTCACGCATCTTTATAGATATTTCAACCAAAGGTTTCTCCCTCCAGGTTGGGTCATTCTCTTTGCTGTTTCTATGGCAAAGCAGGTGATTTAAGGCTTTTAATAAAACACGGCTCGGCTTTGTCTCTCTTTGCCTTTAAAATATTGATGGAGTTGTGTTACTTCAGGTATCAAATGAGAGGACGGTGCTTGGAGTCTGGCTGCCCTTCTGATGGGTGTAGGTGATCTGAAACCTCAGCCCAGATGTCTTCTATTTCTATATCCATGATGCTTCCTTCGCAGTCCAGAGTACAACATATCAAACCCAGATTTCTTCCCCTGCTCCCACCCCTCTTTAAAATGGGCAACCTACAAGTTGCCCTATTAGTGTTAGGAAAAAGATGTTTTTTTCTACCTTCTGTCCGTGCCTCTCTAAGTTGAGTCGTTTTGCTCTTCTAGTTTGACATTTGTTCCATCATATTTAATTATTTCTATACCAGTGTCAGGACTAGGTAATTCCTATAAAAAATAAGTAATAATCATATTCCCTGGTCAACATTGCCCAGTAGTTCTTTTTGCTTCTTTATTTCTTTTGAACAATAATCATGACCATGAAGAAATAGGGTCTCTCTTCGGGGATCAGCTAGGAATCCACTGCTATCTCAAGGAGTTTGCAAAAAGGTTCTTTATGTTCTTTATGCATATTATTGAAAAGAGGTTGTTTTTTTTTTTTTTGTTTTGTTTTGTTTTGTTTTGTTTTGATTATTGAGATTTTTTTTAATTATTGAATGTAAAAATAAGTAGAAGGATTAAATAGTTGATATGGATGGAGCCTTTTTCCTACTCCTCCTTCTTATCCTTCTTTCCTTTCTTGGACCCTTTGGGCTTTTCTCTTCCCTGCTCCCCATTGTCCCCATCCCGCACTCCACATGATCTCACTCTCCTCTCCCTCTGTACCTAATCTCTGACAAATCTCCCTGATTTAAATGCAGCTCCCTTCAGATAGGGAACTCTCTGAATCACTGCTGAAGGGGAACTGTTCCTCTCATTCCCTTTTCTCCCTTTATCATTCACTTTTTCTTATTACCACCTGGGTGACAGCCTGGGTGTCCATCCTTAGCTGACTCTTGTCCATCTATTCTCAGGGTCACGTAGACACTTTTCCCCTGGTATCTCCCAGATGTGACCTTTCCAGCCACTCACACAACAAAGATGCTCTGCAGGCTCTCCTCTGATGTCTTTACTCCTGCAGGAACCTTTTCCTGGGCAGACCCAGTCTTGGCCCACGGCTGCCCGACCCAACTTGCTGCTATACACACTGATTTCCCACCACGACTGATCCTGTTCACCACCCATCTCTTCCCCTTGTCTCCCTCATCCAACACCCACCCCTTGCTTCCTGCCAGGCTCTTTCAGAAGAGCTCCAAGGCAAGGACCTCCTCAGCACCACGTTTCTCCAACATCTGGTTCACGAGCCGTGCCTGCAGGTCCAAGAATAAGAATAACAACATCGTGCAAGCTGATTCCAGCCCAAGGCAGCAGAGGCCAGAAGTTGCTGTGCTCAGAAGTCTGTTCATAAATCAACGTGAAATGCGCTGTCTGAGCGGGGCTCCCAGTAGACACACATCTGCATAACACATACCACTGACACAACTGGCAGTGGGAAAAATATCTAAACATATCATTCCCACAGCTGCGGAGGAATGAATAAAGATGGCTAGGTCCCCTGTCCCTAGGGTGAACCCTGATCCAGGTAAAGGCAGTATTTAGGAGTTAGAGGTTTTAAAGGCAGAGAGAGGACCATTAGAAAAGTCTAATCTGACCGCACTGGCTAGAAAATGTCCCCAGGACCATAACACAATTTGAAAGAAGAAAGCTGAAATAAAGACACCCAACCCTCAATCTGAAATCTCAGGAGGTGAAGAAGCTCAGCCTTTGGTGAGATCTTACAATGCTAAAATCTTTTGTTTTCTCCCATTCTGGATTTATCTGGCTTTGGCTTCCAGCCTTATGATCAGGTCGTGCTGTTGTCTGCTACATGGAAAAATAAAAATAAAAAATCCACATACATTAAAAACCTTCACATGGTTTCAGCATGTATAATTCAAAAATCAATTCTTTCTTTGAGTAAATTGAATACAAATAGCTTCTTTCACTTGGTGGCAGAGTGACCAGACTACCAGTTATTATTTTAGCTTGCTTGCCCCTGATTTTCATCATCCTTTTCTCCTGTGTAGACCAGAGATGAAGGCTGTATCATAGAGACTGGTCTCCAAAGAGCTAGTGAGTGGGTAGCACCACCTCTCCGATATAGTTTGCTGCTCCTTCACCCAAGCATGGTATTTATTCTGCCAGCGAGTCTTATTACAAGTGTGGAGCAATTTGCCATGGTCACTCCTGCAGAAAAACTGTATGGGCAAAGTACAGACATACCTCAGTCAAGTGGAGGCAATTCTGGCCCAATTTTTGGCCAGAGCAATTGTCCCTCCCACACCTGATCAATCACAGTGGGTCTCTTCAGCTACAAGATCCCAGGGGAACCATGATGAAATTGGTGCTGGTCATGTCCCAGTCCTACTGCAGCAGTGATAGTACAGGATTTTGACTTCTTGTCTGGAAATAAAAAGATGGAGATGTGTAGTGTTTTGTTCAATTTTTTTTTATTTTTTTTTTTTGTATTTATACCCTGTCCCTCTGTTTTTGAAGAACTGAGCCATTTTTCAGTTTTGAATCACAACTGGAGGCAACGTGTTTGATACCATCATTTCCCAAAGTGAATTTACCTGATGTGCAGGTAGATCCAGCAGAGGCAGGTCTCCAGAGATGTCTCTCACCCTGCAGCCTTCCAGTCTGCAGGAATTGCCTTACCTTTCCTTCAACACCCAGAAACCAACATCTGACCACAGAGGGTTTTGTGTAGAGCCCATGCTGTACGTAATGAGAATTATGAGTCTCAAACTATCACTGACTGAGTAGGAATGGGCACTCGTGTCCAGTTCTGGGCCCACGCACACCAACCTTTCTTCTTGTACTTTGCCTGGATAAAACAAAAAGGGGAGAGAGGCAACTCTAGTGAGTGATCTCGGCACAATGTATAGTTAATGCAATTGAACTCACCCTGTGCTCAGTTTTCACAACCGGGTTCTTATTCTGATGAGTTAATTCCCTTTGACATCTCTTATGTTCCTCCCCTGCTTTCATTGAGTCTAAAATAACCCAACTGTCCATCTTGCTTATGGAATTACTGAACTTTTAAGAGAACACAAAGTGCACTCGCATGAGGATTTGGGATTAAACCTCTCTTGTTTATGTTAAACATAACATCTTAATTCATCCTTTGCTGGAGGGCAAATGAGTCTCCACAGCCCCAAAGAAACCTGCTTTCAAGCCCTGGAGCAAAGGTCAGTGCAATTTGTTTCTTATTACAGCTGTTCTTTCCAGTAAAGTTGTCTCATGGTATATGACAGTCCTCTTGCAAAACACCTTTGTGCAATTTACAGCATTTTTACTTAAATATTTTCCATTGGAAGACAGCATATGCTTAATTTTCAGCACGTTTCTGCTCTCAGTCTGCACAGATCAGTGGAGTACCTGACTTTTTATCCAGGGATGTGATAAGGAACATAACTGCCTGCCATCTACACCTCACCGAGCACCCAAAGAACTCTGGATTTGGGGAGCGAATCCCACTGAAGCTAGCAGTTCCCAAATTGGGTTGGCTCCAGCCTCCCAGCTCTGTGGTTGTGTATCTTGGGTACAGACCTGTGGGAAGAAGGGCAAGGCAGCACAGATCACTGAGTTGTAGATTGCTGTTGGTCACTAATGGGGTAAGAAACACCCCTGAACACCATAAAGTCCTGGAGGTGAAGGGAATAGGAAGTCCCAGGAGGGATAAGGCAAGCACAATGATGCAGAGCCCAAAAGTAAACCAGATATAGCCCAAAAGTAAACCAGGTATAGGCAGAAAAAGGGGTAGGAGAAAAGAGGCAGTGAAGAAAGTAGCTGGTCGAGGAAAAATTTAAGGCAAAGAAGGAGTGAATGAGGGAATTAAGAAGTTTACAGTTTAATTTATTCAACACTGTACAGTGAAACTACAGAAACAGTGACAAGAAGCCTTTATAACCTGTGTCCCCAGAGAGCTTGTCACCTTTCCACATCAACTGAGCAAAACAACTTCCATCAACACTCCCGTGAGATCCTTACAACCCACTCATTCCCCAACCATGGAAATATGGAAAAGAAATGGAAAACAGCAAGATTCTCTCTTTCCTTGCTACTGAGAGGGCATCAACCCATCTAGATAGACCTCCCCAAATGGCTCAGGGCCCTGCTGAGTGCAGTGGAGTGTGGGCTCTTTATTTTTTTGTGCCTTCTGGTCTTGTTCTTCTCTGGAATGCTTTTAAATAGGGCTTTGACACAGACACTGTGTTTGCAGAGCAGTTGACACAGAAGCCCATCACCCCTGCTGTTGTGCTGGAGGTTTATTTGGATTTTAGAAATTGCTCTCAACAAAGGATAAAAAAAGCTGTGCTTAACCCCAGGAGTTGACCCAAATGGGTGGCTTTGATGAAAGGGGCTCTGATCCAGCTCTCCCAATGCAGATTGCACCCTCCTCTCCTGGCAATCAGAATAGCTCTTGACTCAGGGCACCTTCATTTCCCAGTACAAAAAAAAAGACAGGGATCTCCTTGAAAGAGTCCAGTGGAGGGCCTCAAAGATGATACAGAGCCTAGAGCACCTCCCCTGTGAGGAAAGGCTGAGAGACCTGGGTCTGTTCAGCCTGGAGAAGAGAAGACTGAGAGGGGATCTCATCAATGTGTACAAATACCTGAGGTGTGGGAGACAGAGGGATTTGGCCAACCTCTTTTCAGTGCTCTGTGGGGACAGGACAAGGGGTGATGGCCCAGGCAGTTCGGCACCAACACGCGAAAGAACTTCTTCATGGTGAGGGTGACGGAGCACTGGGACAGGCTGCCCAGGGAGGTTGTGGGGTCTCCTTCTCTGGAGATATTCAAGGCCCGTCTGGACGCCTACCTGGGCAGCCTGCTGTAGGGAACCTGCCTTGGCAGGGGGGTTGAACCCGATGGTCTCTGGAGGTCCCTTCCAGCCCCTACAGTTCTGTGATTCCCCAGGACCTGGGCTAGCAATGCCACCACAACCGAAAGATATAAGTAGGAGTTAGTTTGTGTCCGTGTATGCACAGAACTTGTTGAGACACCGGGAAAAACCTTCTCCTTGGTTCTCATCTCCAAGTAGAAGAGCACAAAGAACCAAGAGCTTTAAAACCCATTTGTCCAGGAGAAAGTAGCTCATTTTAATCTAGAGAAGAGCTGCTTTCTGCAGGCACCCTGCTAAAAACCCAGCTGGGCAGAAGCTGGCTGGAGCTGGACACAGCCACAGCCTGAGGTCCTGAAGGAGTCTGAAACACTTAGGAGGTTGCAGACAGCCTGAATAAATTGTCCTGAATAAATACAGACAGCCTGAATAAATTGTCCCCATTGCTTGGAGAGCCACCACAAAGCCACCTGCAGCCCATCCATCCTCTCGCCATGAGTTTGGTGCTGAGGTTCAGCCCTGAGCCTTGTCTGCTGCACAGGTGACAACATAACCAAAGGGGGAAGGAAAAAAATCTCTTTTTCATAGACATCTCTGTTAATCTCCAACTCTGATTAAATATATCCCAGCTGCTAGGAACAGCTGTGATTTTTTTTTTTCCTTTGCCTTTTTCAAGTGTGATGCATTCCTCCTCTTCACCATCCCATCATGTAGGAGGGAAGAAGAGCCTTGGATAAAAGCCTTGCTCCGGGGCAAGCAAAATCTGAACTGCAGCTTTGCATAAATCTGTCACTTGGATTCCCTGGAGAGCAACTGCAAACTTGAAAAATAGCATTGTGAAGCAGGCACAGGTGTGAACTCTTTATTTACTTGGTTAAAAAAATAAAAGTTGCTGTGAACAGCCTCCAGAACATGATTTCTTTCACTCAGCTTTAAGCTTCTTCAGCTCTTCTAGGACTAGCCCTGTGTTGACAAAAGTGCTATTTGTAAACCAGAAACGAAGCTGTAAGGAGCAAATTGTCCTGTACCAATATCCACTGCGGGATCCCCATTGACCACCCTGTCCTTCTGCTGCTTTTTTTCTCCCTCTGGAACAATTTGTGAGGGAGTTTTTGCTCTCTCCTAAATGCAAACGCATCCAAGATTTTCTGGGTTTGGCTTGCAGTGGGAGGGCAGCCTCCGAGGAGGCTCAGTTATGTCTTTCACCCCAGGGTCAGCTTTGCATCCCGCGGTAAATTTGGCTCCTTTACTTGAAACAAAGAAACACTGTTATTACACAGGCTTCTCCTCTCTTCCGTCCAGGCACTTTCATGCCCAAGATCTTTGGCAATAAGTGGCCGGAGCTGGCTGGGGCTGGCGGAGGCGGCCGTGTGGGCTGAGCTCATCCCAGGCTCCCGGCGGAGCTCCTCTCGCCCCCCACGCCCTACCTTTGTCCCCAAATCTTTCAAGTTCTCAAGAAGCAGGAGGGTGTTTGCTGCTGTGTTAAGGCTCCTTTGTAAAGGAGGAAATTGCTTTTGCAGCCGCAGTCCCAAGGGCTGTGCTTTTCTCGTGCAACGGGACCTTCATCAGACCTCACGCTGCAGCGATAACGTTTGCTGAATGCGTGTATGCCAACAGACACAGACCTATAGCCCAAAAAAATACAGGGGCAGCACTTTTCAGCCTTTTGTTTTCCTTTTTTTATTTTTTTAAGTCCTTGCCTAGTCCCTAGGTAAAGCCATATTTGCAGTAAATAAAGTGAAATATTTGGGACTGTATCGGGTATTGCTAGTCACCGTCTCTAAGCCTGGCAAACCACCCTCAAGGCATGATGGTGACTGCTGGTGGGACACAACCCTCCAGGCTCATCACCACTTTCTCACCCCAAAATTTGCTGTGCTGGGCCAGCAGATTACCCTACTCAGCAGGTAATCCTACTGGACAGCTATAACCCTACTCAGCCATAACCTGAGAGCACACAGAAAATGGTTTACCCACCTAGGTAGTTTTGCATTTCAGCGCTGCTCCGGCTGTGTTGAAAGCCAAATTAATAGAAAGGTTTGGCCAAGTTCTGCATAAGTCGAAACCTGACTTTTTGGCTGGGTTTCTGCCTGACAAAGAGCGAGCTTTCGACGTTCCTTTTCAACAGTGTTGCTTCCTGTGCCAGCAAACAAGCCGTGGGTGGCTTTTCTCCAGCTTGAGGATCCCGGTGGGTCCTGTGAGCTGTGATGGGAGGGTGACGTGGGGCTGGGTTTAAAGAGGTGAAGAGCTGGAATTTGTGAAGCTTTTGCAGCCTGTGCAATTGATTTGTAACAACAGAGCTAGCATAAATCCTGCCACTGCAGCACGGCGGTGCCTGAGTACGTGGCTGTGCAGCTGGGAGAAACCTCAGCCTCCTTTTGCCTGGAGGAAAGCTGATGAGAGAGGGAGGACCTGAGGAACTACAGGCTGGGGTCAATGCCGGGAACACAAGAGGATCCATCTGACCACCAGGCAGCACTTCTGTGCTGTGTGGGTGACGGAGCAGTGGCACAGGCTGCCCACAAAGGCTGTGGGGTCTCCTCCTTGGAGATCTCCAAAAGCCACCTGGACGTGGTGTTGGGCACCCTGCTCTGGGTGGCCCTGCTGGAGCAAGGTGGGACCAGATGGACCCAGAGGTCCCTGCCCACCTCAGCTATCCTGGGACTCTGTGACGTGCAGAAACTCAAGCTGCTCCCTATTGTGTGGAGACTGATGGATCCCAATGAATCCTACCAAGAGCTGTGCTGGATTATCACAGAATCACAGAATTTCTAGGTTGGAAGAGACCTCAAGATCATTGAGTCCGACCTCTGACCTAACGCTAACAAATGTTTGTTATTATGCTTGGAGATTTCTCATTTTAATAACTTACCAACCCAACGGGAGGTTGAAACTGATGGTTGTGATGTCAGTTGGATTCTCTGCTAAAACCCAACAGTGTTTGACATCTCCTCTCTTACTTTCTCCCCCTGAGATTCAAGAAACTTACTACTGACAAGTGCTGTCACGCACAGGTATAATGAATACGTGGCATGACTAATACTGCACAGGTCAGATCAGAGTTGTCTCTCTTACAAAAAAAAAAAAAAAAGATCTTTTTCTCCTCATTATCCAGAAATGGCAGAAGAGAACTCCCCATGACGAGTCCTTGATTATAAAAACTCGTATCCCA